GGGTAGAAGCACTGGGAATGATGCTGACATTCCCTGCATGCAGGAGAGTCTAGTAAAGAAGGGGACAGGGATAGAAGTGATTCAGTCACTTCCACACACTGAAAGAGCCAAGAGTAGGTGGAGTGGGGCAGTTCATCTTCCTCAGGGAAGAGAGCTCTGTCCATCTCCGTGCTAAAGGCCCCTTAAGTGCCCGTGTGAGGCAGTACTCCCTGAAAGTCCCAGTTTATGGGACCAGGGATTAACTCAGGGGCAGAGTGCATGCTTTGCATGTGAAAAACCCCAGTTTATGAACACAGCAACGAATAACGCATATGAAACACCCCACCCCCGGCAGACCTCCCACCTCCTCCCACCAACCCCAGTTTGCAGAACAGGCAAGGTGCAAAGTGGTTGCGTCCCCCTGGAGAGACTGTCAGGAAAAGGGCAGGAAAAGGGATTTATGGGCTTCCCATTAGATGTGTTTTGTATCTAATAAGGGAGATTACATGGACGTCTCCATTTACCAAAATTCACCAGACTTGACTCTTAAGCTGGATCTGGTTTTATTGTATATAAGCCAGACTTCAGTTTTTAAAGTGTAGTCTTGGGCTGGAGCGATAGCACAGCGGGTAGGGGGTTTGCCTTGCACGCGACCGACCCAAGTTCGATTCCTCCGCCCCTCTTGGAGAGCCCGGCCAACTACCGAGAGTATCTCGCCCGCATGGCAAAGCCTGGCAAGCTACCCGTGACATATTCGATATTCCAGACACAGTAACAACAAGTCTCACAATGTTACTGGGCCTACTCGAGCAAATCATGAACAACGGGAGGACAGTGACAGTGACAGTCTTGGGGTTGAAGGGGATGGGCAAAGGCTAGCTTCCGGCTTTTTGCTCAGGGGTTACTTCTGGCTCTGTGAGCCTTGAGAGCTTTGTACTATCTCTCTGTCCCCTAAAAGTAGTTGTTTCAAAAGGAATTCTGCATGCCAACACTGTTACTGACAGCTTTGTAAACCACCGTGCCTAAATATTTTTTAAATGATTTTCATTTATTTTGACCAAGAACGATAGCAGGGCAAGAGAGCTGGCCCGCAGTGCTGGTATGCGTGACTGGCATGCTCAAGGTCCTGAGTTCGAGCTCCAGCACTGCACGGGACCCACCAAACACCACCAGGTGTGCCAGGCTGTGGGGCCAGAACAGCACCACATCACAGGACCCCAGAACTGCTGGACCAAGTACTGCATGGCACTAGCCCCTAGCACCTCTGAGGTAGACCCCCCAAAAATAAGTAATGACAAAGGGGGTCTGGGAAGCTAGCTCGGGACTAACGGGTGGGCACCCTGCAGCCTTTCGTGTCCACGGGCCTCTCTCTGTTATCCTTGTATCTCCCAGTCCCCGTGACTGGTCCTTGGCACCTCCATGTTGTCTGTCCCTGGGGGTCAGCTGTCAAACTCAGCCTCAGCCCTTTGCACACTGCTTTTTGGACCCTTATAGAAGAAAACATTTTCCCTTTATTTACTTTTTTTTTTCCTGATTGCTCAGAGGTCACTCCTGGCACTACTGAGGGACCATATGTGGTGCCAGAGAGGAAACCAAGGTTTGCCACCTGCAAGGCAAGTGCCTGTCCCCTCTACTATCTCACCAGCTCCATTGTTGGTTCTGAAGAAGGAAAATGCATAGCAAAAGTGTTTCTCTAGAACAAGAGTTCCCGCACTCAGAAATTAACTCCTGAGATGTTCTGGGTGTTATCGATGAAGAGGGTGTTGCCAGCTGACCCAGGTTCGATTCCCAGCATCCCATCTGGTCCCCTGAGCACCACCAGGAGTAACTCCTGAGTGCAGAGCTAGGAGGAACCCCTGTGCATCGCCGGGTATGACCCAAAAAAAGCAAAAAATAAATTAAAAAAAGGAAGTTCTAGGGGCCAGAGCCACAGTACAGCAGGGAGGGCACTTGCCTTGCCTGGGTTCAATCACTGCATTGTCCCTCAAGCCCACCAGGAGTGATCCCTGAGTGCAGAGCCAGGAGTAAGCCCTGAGCTAAGTCACGTGTAGCCGAAGGGTGTTGCCCTCTTCATCGATAAATGATGATCAGTGCCTTGTTTACTTTGCTTAGAATGACACAAGACCATCCGAATGTGCTGTACTCTTGGGGGACAGACACAGCAGACGATGAGGCATTAAGTATTAAGGGAAGGCAGCTTTCAGCACAGAAGAGGGCGGTGGTTTCGTCAGCAGTCAGCCCCCTGGGGCTCCTGCCAAAGGCACCTGCACAGCTGAAGGAGGACGCGCACTTTTGGCAACGAGAGCACTAGAGGATGTTCACGGAATTCAAAAGCGTTGGTTCCCGTCCAGCTCTGTGTCCCCAGGCAAGTCGCCGAAACTACCTAGCCTGCAGAATTCTCAGCGTGGCTGGATGAGAATGAAAATTTAGATGAACTCCAAAGTCTAACTTGGAACATTTTGCCTCCCTCCACCCTTTTTTATTAGAGTGGCGGTGTGTGAAACCAGTAGTTTCCAAACCAGACCTCAAAGCATCAAAGTCTTTTGAGGATGGTCAGCCGAAAGTCAGAAGTGCTGGCACCTGGCCCCCTCCAGACCCATGGAGTGACCGTCTGGCTAATGCTTAGAATTTGCATTTTAGCACACAGCATACATATTTCTTGTATTGTTTTGTTTTGTTTTGGAAGGGAGGGTCAGGGGGCTCTCAGTTAGTGGTCAGGAGGTCCAATGGCCCCACTGGTTATTGTCCTCCAGTTGGGCCATCAATTCAGACAAGGGCCAGAGGCTGTGATACTGCTCGGGCCCTGCAGTGCCAGGGGGTGCGGGGAGGTGGGAAGGGGGCTTCAGGACTGCAACTGGCAATGCTCAGGGCACCCTGGGGTGCCAGGAACCAAACTCAGGCACGTGCATGCCCCCTAGATAATTCTGTGAATGGTGGCATTGAGGGTTCCGGCATCATTCTTTTTACTTCTACAGTCAGTCGGGTGGGTTCCTATCCTGAGGCTGCCCAAGGCTAGAACTCATGCTTGCCTGCAGGCAGTCCAGATTTGCTGCCCAGTACTGCGAGGAAAATCCCCCTACCCCTGAGCCTGCCCTGGGCATCGCCACAGGCCACCACCTCCCGTGGCCCTACAAGAACAACATCAGTGCCATCGGTGACTGTGGGCCTCTGAAGCCTGCAAGGCAGTGGTTTGCAAGGCCAGGTCCCAGGTCCAGGAAGGGTGAGTTCACCAGGCGGAACCACTGATTAAGACGCTTCAGACATGAGGGTTTTTCACTTTTCCCCTTCCCTTCTCATTCTGTTGTCACCGCGATCAGTGGCCGGGGCTGCCCCGTTTCCTTGAGTTTCAGTGCTTGCTAAGTGCCACACGCTTTATCGGAGCACCACGGATCCCAGACACTGGCGCTGGGGACCCAGCTCCCAGACTTCTGCCTACAAAGCAGGCATTCTGCCCAGCTCTCTGCAAAGCTACCCAAGCTTTATTTTAAAAGGAAGTTCTAGGGGCTGGAGCGATAGCATAGCAGGCAGAGCGTCTGCCTTGCACACGGCTGACCCGGGTTCGATTCCCAGCATCCCATCTGGTCCCCTGAGCACCACCAGGAGTAACTCCTGAGTGCAGAGCTAGGAGGAACCCCTGTGCATCGCCGGGTATGACCCAAGAAAAGCAAAAAATAAATTAAAAAAAGGAAGTTCTAGGGGCCAGAGCCACAGTACAGCAGGGAGGGCACTTGCCTTGCCTGGGTTCAATCACTGCATTGTCCCCCAAGCCCACCAGGAGTGATCCCTGAGTGCAGAGCCAGGAGTAAGCCCTGAGCTAAGTCACGTGTAGCCCGAAACCCTAAAAATTTTTTAAAAATTAAAAAATAAAAAATTTCTTAAAGAAGAAAGTTGTGATCAGATTCCTGCCATGTGACATTACCCTGGATAGACTTAGATAATTTTTTTATGTGTGGTATAGGAGGTAGTAGACACACACACACACACACACACACACACATAAAATGGTGATAATAAAGAATTCCTTTTGGATGTGACAACGATTGGGTGAGATAAAGTAGATGGAAAAGCAGTCTAGAAGATGCAGTGAAGAAGAACAAATCCCATTAGAATGGTCCAGTACTCGGACTTTTGCACACTAAGACGGTCACAGCGGTCATTAAGTCCCTCCCCGAGGGCAAGAGAGTGGGCTGTGAGGAGAAAGAACCATCATTTTTAGTTCGAGGGACCAGTGATGGCTCGGGAGAGGGAGTGAAGGTGGGGGAGAAGGACCCGTCGGGGTAGAAGAGCTCACTTAAAGCCCGCTGCCATGGGGTTGGAACCATAGCACAGCGGGTAGGGCGCTTGCCTTGCATGCGGCCAACCCGGGTTCGATTCCCAGCATCCCATATGGTCCCCTGAGCACTGCCAGGAGTAACTCCTGAGTGCAGAGCCAGCAGTAACCCCTGTGCATCACTGGGTGTGACCCCAAAAGCAAAAATGGGGGGAAAAAGCCTGCTGCCAGGAAGGTGAAAGACCCCCGACTCGTACCCGGGCTGGCACTCGTACCCGGGCTGGCTCCATCTTGTAGCTGCTGGGCCCGTCCCCAGAGGAGCACAGCAGAGCGGGAGGTGGGGTGGGGCACGGGGATCTGGACACCCAGGTGGTCTACAGTGTGGTCCAGGTTTCCTGAGCAGTTAGGGGCCTCCTGGGGCGAGGGGAACAGAAGGTCTGTGCAGGGTGGGAGCCCTCCTGTCCAGCAGTGGGTGAGAAGGAAACAGCGTAGGGCCAGGACGGGCAGAAGGCCAGGGAGAGCTGAGGAAGGGCTACGGGCTCAGGATGCTGAGTTCGGGCGGAGCTGGCTCTGCTGGGGGCCAGTTTGGGATCGAGGGCGGGCGTGAGTTTGGGATCCAGGGCCGTGTATGTGAAGAGACAGGTAAGCACTTGGGAATAGAAAAAGGAGCCAGACTCCTCGGAAAACAGCTCATCCCTTCCAGGTTGGCCTTTGCCTCACCCGCTCATGTGTGTTCCCTCCTTCCTGGCAGCCAACAACATGCTGCGTGTCTGCAAGTGTGGAGTTCTTCAGTCTTCATCATCAAACCCCCAGCATTTGGAGGAGATGGGGACCCCAGAAGGAAGGTCTGTCAGTGACCAGAGGACCTTAACCTCACAGGAAAGTCCGCTGTGTCCCGTGAACCTGACTGACGACCAGATCGCCACTGGCCTCTACGGTAACTGTTCTCCCTCACCGTCCACAAGTCAGGACTCTGGCCCCATCAGACACCCACCTGGGACAGTGTGTGCCTTGGGCATTTGCCCTGGGGCGGGGGAAACCAGTGATAACCAGTTTGGCAGGAAGACCTCGAATAGCCTTAAATTCAGATTGCTAAAGAATTATGTGCCACCCCCAGCCCCTTAAAGAAAAGTTCATTGGATTTTGTACATTGAGAGAGAAAAAAAACTTTTTTTTTTCTTTTTGTGTCACACCCAGCAATACACAAGGATTACTCCTGACTCTGCACTCAGGAATTACTCCTGGCAGTACTCAGGGGACCATATGTGATGCTGGGAATCAAACCCAGGTCAGCCGCATGCAAGGCAAACACCCTACCCACTGTGCAATCGCTCCAGCCCCTAATGTAGAATTTTTGGACAGCCTTTCACTCTTTTGTAGTCAGGGACGCAGACCTTTTTTTTTTTTTCTTCAGGTTATCTCAATCGAAGAAAAAGAATAATCCTTATCGTAGTGCCCAAGTGAATTTTTGAGGGTCAAATGAGACACGACATCATTTTGTAAACAGTACAAGCCTGATAAAAGTGCTAGAAGTCATTGCTTTTGTTATGTCTGAGAGCACCAAGGGCCTTTTTTCCCATTAAGAACATGAAGAATGGAACTTTGAGTTACTAGTTTGGTATGCTCACAGGTTTCCATTGCATTTTGTGCAAGTTTCTCCTAAGTAGCCAAGACTTATATTTATATAAGTGAGGGGAAAGAATCAGTATATGCACAGATTACACTTTATAACTCGATCACGACCATCCTGTTGTTCATCGATTGCCTCGAGCAGGCCCTAGTAACGTCTCCTTCATCCTAGCCCTGAGATTTTTTAAAAAGTGCCATATTCAAGGCTCTTTCAGGGTTAGGAGAATGAGACCTATCATTGTTACTGGTAGTTGGCATATTGGATACGCCAGACTCTGCCGTGTAGGCAGGTTACTTTCGGTAGCCTGCCAGGTTGTCCAAAGTAGGAATGAGATAATAAGAGGTCACTTCCGGGAGCTGGGTTTTATAGTCTCTGGGTCTTGGCCGTTGATGGGATTACACGGCACCAGGGGGCCAGTTGGTGGGTGTGACCCCTGCGACTGGAATATGGAGGATCTAGGTGGGGATGCTCAGCCCCGATCCGAGCAGGCTTGGAGATCTCAGCCCCGGGACCCACATGCCTTTGTCTAACTCAAGTATATGAATTGTGCTCATTTTGGTCCCCTCCCTTGGCTTTTTCGCAGCATGTACAAATAGCGAAAGTACACTGAAGTCCATCATGAAGAAGAAAGATGGCATCAAGGACTCTAATGGAGCGAAAAAGAATCTCCAGTTTGTTGGCATCAATGGAGGGTAAGGAAAGACGGTGGTTCGTACACAATCTGTCTGTCTCCTTTGCCTCCTGCTACTCACGTCCCATTCCAAGGTGCCCACTCTGGAACGCTGCCATATCTCAGCGACAGAAGAGTCTCTCCTCAGAAAGGTGCTTTGGGCTTCTCCTCTCTTCCTGCTGTCTTTAAAGGATCTGGCATTCTTTAACGGACACCTGATGGAGCTAAGTGATTTACATCTTCTCTCTTCTTCTGATCTGAAAAAAAAAAAAATAGTCTTCAACCAAAGCAGCAGCAGGCAGCAGATTTCCTGGTGGACAACTGGTGCTTTCTTACCTCAGAACTCAGAATCAAGAAAGAGACGGGAGCCCGGCTCCAGGAGCAAGGACAGTCATCCTCTCCTTCCCACGGGCCATTCCGTTAGCTCTTCCTGTTTCCACACAACCTTGTAGGCTCTTTCTCTGGAAGACTAACCCAGTCTTGCCACCCATTTCCTCTTTCTAAATAGGATATTCAGTAGCTGTCTATTCCTTCTCTTCCAATTGACCCAAATCAGTAGGTAAGCCCGTTTGTCCCCCTAAAACCAAGTCAATTAATTGTTTAATGGAGAAGAGAGCAGTAGAACAGAGTGAGTTAAAATACTAGAAAGAATCAGGGGTAATGAAGCCCTAGTACAGGGGAGAGTACACTTGCCTTGCACGCAGCTGACCTGTGTTCAGTCCCTGGCATCTATGGTCCCCTGAGTCCCGCCAGGAGGAAGCCCTGAGTACTGTCAGCTACGCACCCCCTGCCACCCTCAAAAGTAAGATAAAGAGTCAACTATCCCACAAAGATTGAACCTACTGGTGGCATTTATCAAACTTTTGCAATTCTGTGAGTCAGTGGGGTGAAGGCAGTTTTAGAGGATACATACCAGACGAACTATGCTTACTTAAATAATCTGCTCACTTTGACTCCCTGGGAAATAATGGTGCATGAGAGGAAGAATGGAGCCGAAAAATGAGTAACTGTAAACCCAGTTTTCATAAAATAAGATTTTCCTCTCATTTTTAACCCTGAGTAAGTTTTTCCTCTCAATCTAACCCTGAGAATGCCTTCGTTGTTTTTTTTTTCCCCCTCTTGCCAATGGCATATGATACCAGTTGGCCACCCCAGATGCCTTTCTGAAGTCAGAACCCATTCGGAACCACCAGGTGTTTCAACAGATCTTACTTGAACACTGGTGGAACTTCTGGAGACGGCAGCTTTACCTGGGTAGAAATTTCTGTCACTGGGTCTTTCCGGGCACACCTTTGCATCTCCTGAAATCCCAATTGCCACCTAGGTATGAAACAACTTCCAGTGATGAGTCCAGCTCAGAGGAAAGCTCTTCTTCCGAGTCGGATGACGAGTCTGGTGTCCTCGAGTCTCCTCCTGTGGAAGAGGAGGAGGAAGCGGAGGACGAAGACATTCGGGGAGAGGCGGAAGGGCACCATGGCGTTACGGTGGAAGGTTTCAAGTCCGCCAGGGCGGAAGATGAAGTGCAGGTTCACGAATGTGAACCTGAGAAGGTGGAAATCAGAGAGAGGTGTGGTACCCTCCCCCCCCACCCCTCCCCTCCCCTCCTTCGTTGAATGTGTTTTGGAAATAGAGTCACCGTTTAGGATATTTTTAGTTGTGTCTGTTTGCTCCATCACTCCAAAGGATGCTTGATTTGACCGTGTCTCGGAGGTGGGGACATCCGGTCCTGGGACTAAGAAACACAAGTGCATGAGGTGCCAGAGAGAAAGGCTCATGACCTGGTCACCTCTGGGTTCAGTTTCTTTAGCCACGTGCTGTCAGATTTGATCTGTGGGGCCACCATCCGCAGAATCCAATAAGCACCACTTGAGTCTCCATTGTTCGCCTTATATTAATATTTCTATTCATTCATTTCCTTAGATTTACTTCATATTTAAGACATGCTAGAAATTTTTGTGACCGGGACATTTAAGGTTTCCTATTTTAACACTAGCCCTTTCTCTTGGTACAGGTGTCATCCTGTACTTAGGGATCACTGAGAGAAACAGACATTTTACTTTAAAAGATGATGTTTATTATAAAAAGGATGCACTGTGTTCCACTGTATGTTGACACTGTGTTGCTTAATGAGTGATAGGCAGCTCCACGTGAATTTACTTGCTGTGGCCAGAGAAATAGAAAAGTGGGTAAGGCTCTTCTCTTGCATGAAGCCAACCTGGGTTCAATTCCTTGTGGTCCCCTGAACACCACCAGGAATGATCCCTGAGCACAGAGCCAGGAGTACTGAGCACAGAGCCAGGAGTAAGCCCTGAGCACTGCCAAGTATGGCCCCAAAACAAACAGAAAAATAATTTGCAAATAAAGTATCAGGTAAGTATTCTAGTTGGCTAGAAAATAAACCTTAAAATGGGGTCAGTGTTTATAAAATAAGAGAGGGTAGAACAGATGAAAATTTTATCATGGTTTGTCACAGTTTCAAGTATAAACAGAACATTTCTGTTTCTTAAATAATCACCTAGCTCTATTTAATTTGGCAAATAGAAGCTTAATTGCATTAGCACAGGTGTTTTTAATGTCTCATTCAAATCTTTTCAAATGCCTCAAAATCTTGTATTTCTTTTTTCCAAGCAGCTTTATTCTGAGAAAATGTAAATACCATGTGTCATCTGACGTTCAAATTTGTATGTTCATGTGAATTAAGCAGACACTTCCTGAGTTAGAAAATGTCAGTTCAGACTCATGAATTACTGGCCAGCAAGTTGGTGGCAATTCAGACTGCTTCGGTCTCTGAAGAGTAAAAACAGTTTTTAAACTCAGGGGCCGGAAAGAGAGTCTGGGGGTTAGGGCACATGCCTGATGGAGCTCATCCCCAGCGTGTAGCCCCCTGAGCACTGCCAGGTATGGTCTAGGTGGTCCCCGACACTGCAGGGCCACAGTAGCACCAAGCATTGATCGGTCAGGTATCACAGGGAAGTGTCCCCTAAGTACCACTTGGGAGTCTGCCCCCCAAAAAAGAAAAATCAGCAATGTTTTTTGGGGGATGAGACCCCCTAAAAAGTCTTCAAATATTATTGCAAAATATCCTGAAAGCCGGGGCCGGAGCCATAACAATAGCAATAGGGTGTTTGCCTTGCACGCAGCCAACGCGGATTTGATCCCCTGAGCCCCTCCAGGAGTGACCCCTAAGGCAGAGCCAGGAGTAAACCCCCGCCCCCCCCCCAAAAAAAAAGTCATTCAAGCCAAAGCTTCATGAAAAGACCTCATCCCTGGCTGGAGCCATGGGCATGCTTTGATGGCATCAGGACTCAGATGTCTGGGGGTTCTCCAAGCATGTAATTCACCCCAACCTGGCAAGCTCAGCCTGAGGCTGCTTGTCTTTTAAAGCAATTGGAGTCTGGGGGCTGGAGCGATAGCACAGCGGACAGGGCGTCTGCCTTGCACATGGCCGACCTGGGTTCGACTGCCAGCATCCCATATGGTCCCCCGAGCACCGCCAGGAGTAATTCCTGAGTGCATGAGCCAGGAGTAACCCCTGTGCTTCGCCGGGTGTGACCCAAAAAGATAAAAAAAAAAAAAAAAGAAAGAAAGAAAGCAATTAGAGTTTTTCTATGTTTTAAATATTCTATTTGGGGGGTGCTAATCATGAACTCTCTCTTTCTCTCTTTTTTTTTAATCCCCTCCTCCCTTTTAGGTATGAATTAAGTGAAAAGATGCTGTCTGCCTGCAACTTACTGAAAAATAATATCCACGATCCCAAAGCTTTGACCAGCAAAGATATGGTGAGTCTGCCCTGAGGAGAGTCTGCCGAAAATACCCGAGTGGGTGACCACTGGACACGTTGTGCCAGGCTGCCCCTGACCTCTTTCTACCTACCCATTGTCCACCAGACGATTTCGAACATCTGTGGGCAGGAATGAGCGATGTGCACTGCCTGTTGTGTTCGCGTCGCCCTGTGAACATTCTCCTCAGACCCAACTTGGAATGTCCTGGTCACACCCTGTACTTTTCGTGGAGCAGAGGATCTTGGAGGAGGAAGGGCTAATTGCAGTCGTTGGTCACCCTTCTGTGTGTCCGGCCGCTGCTTACGGCACCTTGTGGTCCAGGGAGCAGAACTCCGCATTGGACAGTGCCGTGCGGTGTTGAAAAGAAACTCATCCGGGCAGAGGTCAACATTCCTTTCAGTCCTGAAGCTGCATATTATGTTCTGATGTGGAATGCAGGCGGACACTATTTTTAAACCGTAGCGAGGACTGTCCTTGTCATTTTCTCGCCGTTTGAGAGATTCAGAGGCAGAGAGAGAGAGAGAAAGAGTTTCCTGAGTGAGCAAAATGACACAGCCCAGGACAGAGCAATATTTCTGTGACAGTGGCAAATCTGCCGCCAGGTGTGTCGCTCTCCTCTGCACTGCTGAAGTTTTGCCCTGTGGCTTCTTTCACAGGTTAGAACCAGCCTCTGGCTGATGACCATGTATGCTGAGAAGCGGCAGCTTCTCATGTTAGATTGAGATGGCACCATGCTTTTTTTTTTTTTTTTTTGAGCTTTTGCACCAGCAGCAGGAGGTTGGCGATACTTGCGTGCCGCATGAAGTCAGCAGTTAGCGAGAAAGTTGATTTCTCAGGCCCCCACAATTAGAGGGCTCGGAGGTCAAAATGCAAGGACTGACACGGATCGAAGGAATTTCTCTCACCCTGCAGAGAGCAATAGTTTTCCTTTTGTCACGCCAACACGATTGTGAAGAGTTGGTGCTGGCAGTCCCAGGCAGGACAAGCATGTGGGACACAACCGCCTGGTCCTACTGGGCCTTCCTGCTCCCTCCAGGCCCTTGACCCCGGTGCAGTGACCACTTAGCCCTGTTACCAGGTTATACCTGCCTTGAGTCCTGCTCCTTGTGTTGGTTTATCACCTTAACTCTTTGTGCCACATTTTTTTGAAAATAACGGTCTCTTCGTGTATTTGTTTATTGTTGCTATGGAAACTCACCTCCAACGTTGCCAACTGCTTTGAGCTGAGAAAGGAGCTGGGTAGTGATGTTTACAAAGGAAGCACTAAATTAAACTCCTGGTCTCGGAGGAGCATAGAATTACATCTTGAACTCGAGCCATATAAACCCAACGCCTGCCTCTACCTTGGTCACAAGTAGTCGAACCGTGGACTGTCACTGCAATGTCACCGTAGTTTTCCCTCGAGGTTGAAACTGATGTTGCAGTTTCAAAAGGCTGTAAGGCGCCTAGATTTTGCGTTCCCTTTCTTTTACCCTTTTAAAACTATCATTTGACCCGTTCTTAGGGGAGGGCATAGCATTTCTGCAGCCCCTGTGTAACTAACCCTTTTATCAGGTAAAGGCCCTCCCGTTGATCATCGATTTGCTCGAGCGGGCCCAGTAACGTCTCCATTGGAGACTTTGTTGTTACTGTGTCTGGCATATCCAATACTCTCGGTAGCTTGCCGGGCTCTCCGAGAGGGGCGGAGGAATCGAACTCGGGTCGGCCATGTTGGCTGCGTGCAAGGCAAACGCCCTACCGCTGTGCTATCGCTCCAGCCTTATACACCAATTCGGTATATTTTTGTTGTTGCCGTTGGATTGGACTGGACCGGATGGGAGTGTTGGTTGTGTTGTGCTGGGGTGGGGAGGGGAGGGTAGATGTGTGAGCACGATGCAGGGCTGCCCTTTTGTAGCAGTGCTGGGGTTTTTACACCTGCGATGTCATTTCTTTCCTGGGCAAAAGTTCCAGAGAGAGAAATTTGAGTATGTAAGAGTAGAAGGAGAAAAAAATGAAATTAATTTTCTCCTGGGCAGAATAATTTTCATCACACGAACTAAAATATGACGGATTTGGTTAAAATTACTGAAGATTTAGTAGCTGGAGAGGAGCTGAAACCCTTCTAATTCCAATCCCACCGTTTCTCGAGAAAGAGGATTGTGTTTTTGTGTTTTCATATGTTTCACCTCCGCTGTACCCCTCTCTTGGATCCTTTGTATTTTTTTAACTTTTTTTTTTTTTTTGGCTTTTTGGGTCACACCCGGCGATGCTCAGGGGTTACTCCTGGCTCATGCACTCAGGAATCACTCCTGGCGGTGCTCGGGGGACCATATGGGATGCTGGGAATCGAACCAGGGTCGGCCATGTTGGCTGCGTGCAAGGCAAACGCCCCACCCGCTGTGCTGCCGCTCCAGCCCCATTTTTTTTAACTTTTAAAGAATAAAACGAACACAAATAAAGAGTGTGCTCCTATCAAAGTTAGCCTGCAAGTCAGGCTGGAACATTGATACAGCAGAGAAGGCGCTGGCCTTGCACGTGGCCAACTTGGGTTCGATACCCGATGCCCCAGATGGTCCCTGAGCCCAGTCCGCAGTGAACTCTGAGCACAAAGCCAGGGGTAAGCCTTGAGCAGCAGCAAGTGTGGCCACAAAACTGAAATAGAATAACAATAATAAAGTGGGCCCATGGTAGAAAAATGAGAGCTATCCCTGTCACTGGCATTGCACTTGATGGCAGCCCAAGTTTGACACATGATCCACAATGCAGATGCCGCACTCATGGTCCCCAGCCACACAGGAGACCAGATGCCGGTGATCTGAGGAACAGAGTATTCCATAGAGCTGCCGCTCATGCCCTTTTCCAGGCTGAACATTTCGTGTTTGGGAGAAGAGTGGGAATTGCACAGGGAGGTCCAGACTTGGCTGTGGTCTCCTCACCACACGCCGTGGGCTGTTGCAAGGAGTCGGAGCTGGTCAGGACAGGAAGCAGCATAATTCGAGTGGTCAAACTCATCTCTTCTGATGCCTGTGAAAGTCAACCCCAAGTCTAGCATGCTGCATAATGGCAACAGCTCAGTCACAAGTGGAACCAGGCCTTAGTGCTTTGCACGTGTTGCCTTGTTTGCCTTTAGCATAGGTGCTAGGAACAGAATGCCCTAGGAGTCTCCCTGGTCTTTCTTTTTTTTTTAATATGGGAGGGGGGGTGCGTTCAGGCCATACCTGGTGGTCCTCTGGGATTACTTCTGGCTCTGCGCTCAGGAATTACTGCTGTCAGTACTTGAGGGCCCCATGGGATGTTGGGGATCGAACCTGGCTTGACCGAGTACCAGGCAAAAACACACTACTGGCTGTGCTATCACTCTGGCCTTGCGTCTCCCTATTTTTGCAGATGAGGAAACCAAGACACAGAATTCTCCGCGTCTTCCCCAGGGGGTTGGGCTCCTACCTCACGGAGCCAGATTCCAAGCCTCTGTGGGCTGGCAGGGTGCTCAGTGGCCTTTAGAGAAGTCAAAGTATGTCGATGATGATGTCAAATCTGGATCAGGGGCGGAGAGACGGGGTTAGGGCACTTGCCTTGCATCTCCTGACCCGGGTTTGATCCCTGGCAACACAGGTGGTCCCTGAAAACCACCAGGAGTGGCCTCTGAGCACAGCTGCAAGTGGCCCCAAGCCATCAATCAGTCAGTTACAGTTTGGCTCACCAGGACTGTTCCGCTTTGGGGTTCGGGTTTCATTAGCTGCTTCTGAGTTAGATTCTAGCTGCTTGTGTGTCTGACACTCCGGATGCCTGGCGTACGTGGGGCTTTTAGCTCAGAAAGGTCCAGAAGGGGCTGGAGTAATAGCACAGCGGGTAGGGCGTTTGCCTTGCACGCAGCCGACCCGGGTTCGATTCCCAGCATCCCATATGGTCCCCTAAGCACCGCCAGGGGTAATTCCTGAGCGCAGAGCCAGGAGGAACCCCTGTGCATCGCCGGGTGTGACCCAAAAAGAAAAAAAAATTCCTGAGCCAAGTCTATAGTACAGTAGGTGGGACGTTTTTCTTGCATGAGGCCTACCAGGGCTTGATCCCTGGCATCTCATATGGTCCCCCAAGTACTGCCACGAGTAATTCCTGTGTCCAGAACCAGGAGTAACCCCTGAGCATTGCCAGACCCAACAAGAAAAAAAAAAAAGGAAGAAGAAAAAGAAGAAGGTGAAGATGCTCTTTAAAAAGAAAATCTGGGGCTGGAGCGATAGCACAGCGGGTAGGGCGTTTGCCTTGCACGCGGCCTACCCGGGTTCGATTCCCAGCATCTCGTATGGTCCCCTGAGCACCGCCAGGAGTAATTCCTGAGCGCAGAGCCAGGAGTAACCCCTGTGCATCCCCGGGTGTGACCCAAAAAGCACAAAAAAAAAATTAGCAGACCAAATTTAATATGCATTTACTAAGTTTAGTGAATTATACATTATGAATGGGTTAGTATTATCCAGGAATGCAAGAATGGTTCAACTTATGCAAATTTAACTAATGCACTATGTCAGAAGAGCAGAGAAAAAACAATCTGATCATATCAATAGATGAGAAGAAAGTATTTGGGGCTGGAGCAATAGCACAGTGGGTAGGGGTTTGCCTTGCATGCGGCCTACCCGGGTTCGATTCCCAGCATCCCATATTGTCCCCTGAGCACCGCCAGGGATAATTTCTGAGTGCAGAGCCAGGAGTAACCCCCGTGCATCGCTGGGTGTGACCCAAAAAAGCAAAAGGAAGAAAAAGAAAGGTCCAGAAACAAGAGGAACTGATGGCCACTGCCTGGGTGGGTTTGTTTTTGTTGTTTTTGTTTCTGCAGCGGTTCTGCCTGAACACCCTCCAGCACGAGTGGTTCCGTGTGTCCAGTCAGAAGTCGGCGGTGCCGGCCATGGTGGGGGACTACATCGCCGCCTTCGAGGCCATCTCGCCCGACGTGCTCCGCCACATCATCAACATGGCCGATGGCAACGGCAACACGGCCCTGCACTATAGTGTGTCGCACTCCAACTTCGAGATCGTGAAGCTGCTCCTGGACGCAGGTATGTCACTGCCGGGCGCTGGCCAGCCCCCTTCTCGGCCCCGGGAGTCGCTCCCGGGAGGGAGGCCTGGAGTTTCAGCAGAGCTGGGGGGGGGACATGGCCCTTGGTGGCCCCATCCTGCTCCGGGGTCTGCCACATTTGAGCCAGGACGGATCCTAACCCACATTCCTCCCGCACTGAGTCGTGCAGGCTTGGTTGGCGGGTGCTCTCGGGAGGTGGGTGCGGTTCCCAGGCTGCATCCCAGCTTGGCTGCCTGCAGGCTGCTCTGTGGGGCCTTGGTGATCCACCTGCCTTCCAGAAGCATCTAGTTAGTCGGGACAGAGACCGAGCAAAGCCACTCTCCCCGCATCAGATAGTTACTATGGAACCAACAGAGCAGAGAAAGTGTTACACTTGTCTCTGCACCATCCAAATGAATGCAGTGAAAATTCTTTTTTTTGTAGTTTTTTTTGTTTGTTTGTTTGTTTGTTTGTTTGTGGGCCACATCTGGTGGTACTCAGGGGTTTCTCCTGGCCCTGTGCTCAGAAATTACTCCTGGCAGTGCTCAGGGGACCATACGGGATGCTGGGGATCAAACCTGGGGTTGACCGCATGCCAGGCTAGCAAGGCCCCACCCACTGTACTACTACTCCAGCCCTAAAGCAGTGAAAGTTCTTGGCAGTAGTTGGAACCTTCCACACCAGCATCGTGCCAGTGGGTGTCGGAAAGCTGCAAGGAGGGAGAAGAACACAGAAGAGCCCCTTGAGGAAGAGGAAGGGCTCGTCCAACAGAACAGGCCAGTGGTACCTCTAGTCCTCAAAACACAGTTGCTTTTTGTTTTCTTTTGGTTCGGTTTGGAGACCAATACAGCAGTGTTCAAGGCTTACTCCTGGCTCTGCACTTGTGGATCATTCCTGACAGGATCGGGATCCCATATGTGGGGCCAACGATTGAACTTGGCAAGAATGGGTCGGCTGCATACGGGATAAACGCCTTACCCACTGTCCTATCTCTCTAGTCCGTATTTATTTCTGAACCGTGGCCAGTTAGAACCTAATCTGACTGGTACCTCATCTGGCTAAAACCTGACCTACAATAGTTCTCCCTCCCTGTCTCCAGACTTATAAACTTCCTTTCAACACTGTTTTGATACCAGCCAAGCAAACCTAAGCCTTTGGTTTTTTTTTTTTTCTTCTCTTTTCTCAGTATGCGTAAGTTTAGGGGACAAGTTAGAATCCATGGCTTTCCATCTTATAAAAAAAAAAAAGAATTCCAGGCCTCTTTTTCCCTTCAGACTTCCCAGACTATAAACAGAGCTCGTGATTTTTTTTAAGTTTATTATTATTTTTTATTTTTTTTATTAGTGAAACACCGTGAGGTACAGTTGTAGACTTACAAATTTTTGTGCTAGGGTTTCAGTTATACAATGATCGAGTACCCACCCCTCCACCAGTGCCCATTTTCCACCGCCACGGGTCCCAGTATCCCTCTCACCCCCCCATCCCCCCACAGCCCACCCTGCCTCTGTGGCAGGGCATTCCCTTTTGTTCTCTCTCTCTCTCTCCTTTTGTGTCCTGTGCTTTGCAAGACAGGCATTGAGTGGCAGTCATGTTTGGTCTATAGTCTACTCTCATCACGCGTTTCCCATCCTGAGAGGATCCTCCCAACACCCTTTATTTGGTGCTCCCTTCTCTATGTGAGCTCCCTTTTCCCCTAGTGTGTGTTGCTGGCCTCCAAGCCATGGAGCAAAATTCCTGATACTAATCTCGGCCACTCCTGGGTGTTAGTCTCCCAATTTTTTGTCAGCCCCAGAAAGTGTTTGAGTGGATTAGCAGCTGATGCATGGGGAAGCTTGAACAAGATTGCAGTATCGCTCCCAAAAAGTCAGTTTCATCCTCCCTTGGAAATGCTGAGTGGGCACAACAGTGTGCTGGTAAATTAAATGATTTTAACTCCATTGTTGGATACCGTGGTTAAACGCTTTTCCTGGGTTCACTTAACTGTTACTCAGCTGCCACAGCTCACAGATGTCACTGAGTCCCAGTAGCCCAGCTCAGCCTTGCCTTGGGTACTAGGCATGGCCAGTTCTGCTGGGTGTGACCCCCAGAAGGATGAGCTCTGTTATGAGTTCCCAGAGGATGCAGTTGTTTGGGAATCCGGGAATATTCTCAGGTTCCCTCCTCCCTGCTTCTGCGGAAACAAGCTCAGCACTGGGTTCATAGCAGCTTCCCGGTTGCCCTCGCATCCTTCCATTTTGTTAGAATGCACTGGGAGAAGATAGAGGCATTCGGGGGGCTTCTTTAGCCCCAGAAGACTCCTTAAAACACTGCAGGACAAACAAAGGTCTAGTTGGTGAGTCTGGTTCCCTGGCAGTTTCTTAGAGACCTACCGCATTTGCTGTCTGAACAGAAGAACAGACGCCCCCAGAACTAGGTGTAGTGAGATTGGAATTCTCGTCCGAGGGCCCCAACTGCATCAGAGGAGCAAACTCAGGATCTAAGAATGGGACTGTGTGTGTGTACACCTGTGTCACACCCTATTCCGTGTCTTGTGATCTCTACACAAGGCTCACAAATCCTTTCCCATGTAGCGCTCACTGCTGTCTTCCCTCCACAGCTCTGGTCTCCCAGATACCCTCCGACACGCTCATGCCAGCCCGTGCCAGGGCGGCTCTGATGTGACGATGGTTTAATGAACACAGACTCTAGTACCAGCACCAGCATGTAAATGCCAGGGTCCCACACTTTCCAGGTTATTTCTTCAAAATAGTCTGACTTGGAGCATCCGCACAGACCTCCGCATTTTTGCAGTTCAGTTGAACCCCCCATCGGGTGCAAGCAGATGGGAACTGCCATGGATACTCGCGTCTGCGTTCCATCCACTTTCCTCTGGGATGAGGGCTTTTTAACCCCATTTCCTTCCAGGTCTGCCTGGGACCTTGATGCCTTTCCACCGGTCTCTCCCAGACTCCCTGCCTCCAATCCCCCGGGGCAGGGTCTGGATCTGTGGTCAGCAGGTGCCCAGCAGAGATGCGTGTCTTTGCCGATGACTGTCAACGCATATCTTTGCAGATGTGTGCAACGTGGACCACCAGAACAAGGCAGGCTACACGCCCATCATGCTGGCCGCCCTCGCCGCCGTGGAAGCAGAGAAGGACATGCGGGTGGTGGAGGAGCTCTTTGGCTGCGGGGACGTGAACGCCAAGGCCAGCCAGGTGAGCACTGCATGTCCGCCCCGGGGGTCAGCCTGCATGGCACTGTGATGCCCCCACCCATCCATCCGCCAGTGACAGTGACTTCCTGAGCACTGCCGGTGTGTCACGCCATCATTCTCAGCTCGAGTGTCCACTGTGTTCAGAGCTGAATTCGTGACATACCCTGCGAACTTCCCACCTGGTCGTCCCAGTAGAGGACCTCAGACCTCATCACCTTAGGGGCTTCCTCAGCTCGTGGCCCACCAGCCCACTCCCTTCTTCTGCCCTTGTCAGCAGCCACGCCACCCCCAGCCCCCTCCACCTCCCTCTCCTGGCACTGCGGGGCCCCGCGGGTACGTCTCACACCCCCTTGCGGTTCCCTGCAGGCTGGACAGACAGCCCTGATGCTGGCCGTCAGCCACGGACGCATTGACATGGTGAAGGGGCTGCTGGCATGTGGGGCCGACGTCAACACCCAGGACGACGAGGGCTCTACCGCCCTGATGTGCGCCAGCGAGCACGGCCACGTGGAGATCGTCAAGCTGCTGCTGGCACAGCCAGGCTGTAACGGCCACCTCGAGGACAATGTGAGTGCTGGGGGCGCGGGATGGGGGTGGGGGCGATGCGGCCCACAGGGCACTTGAGGCAGCAGACAGATTCTCTGTGACTGTCCCTGGGCACCCCTGGGTGTGGCCCCGAATGAGGGAGGGAGGGAGAGAGAGAAATGGGCTCACCCCGAGTCCATTAGAAGAAGAAAGTGATGAGCACCAGAATACAAAAGGGGAATTAACAGTCCAGTACCAAGTTCAGTGGAGGCCGCCACTTCTGGTGAGTTCTAGAAGAGAAGAGCAGGGTCTGGAAGAAAAGAGCATTGTCTGTGGCCTTCATGGCTCCATGCAGAAGCCGGTGGCTCCTTTGGTAAGAAGCAGCCAGGGGCAGGAGCGATAGCCCAGCGGGTAGGGCGTTTGCCTTGCATGCAGCCGACCCGGGTTCAATTCCCAGCATCCCATAGGGTCCCCCGAGCACCGCCAGGAGGAATCCCGGAGGCTCAGGGTTGGAGGCTCACCTCCCTCCCCAAAAGTCGAGTCAGGAGAACGCTGGCAGGTCGTGTGTCAGAATACACAACGTGGCACATGCCAGCTCATTCTGACTCTGAGGCTGTTTCTCAGTAGAGACGATGACTTGAGGGTGTGGTGAGACCCAGGGTTCGCTCCCCCGCACCGCCGTGAGTGCCGCTGTTGGCCTCACGTCTGGACGGTCAGACCCGCAGCTGGGCAGGGAATCATCAGCAATGGCTCACCCTCGGGTCCCAGCAGTGCCTGGGAGGGCCCTATATATCGTGTGTGTGTGTGTGTGTGTGTGTGTGTGGTGGGAGCTTTGGGGGTGACACCCAGCAATGCTTAGGGGCTATTTCTGGCTCTGCACTCAGGAGTTACTCCAGGTGGCGCTCAGGGAACCATATGGGATGCCAGGGATCGAACCCGGCTTGGTCATGCAAGGCCCTACCCGCGGTACTGTTGCTCCAGGGCCCTTTTCCCTTTTATACATTATATATATATATATATATATATATATATATTTCATTTCATCATCCTGTTATTCGTCGATTGCCTCGTGCAGGCCCCAGTAACGTCTCCTTCATCCTAGCCCTGAGATTATATTCACGGCTCTTTAGGAGAATGAGACCCATCATTGTTACTGGTATTTGGCATATTGGGTACGCCACGGGGAGTTTGCCAGACTCTGCCGTGTGGGCAGGTTACATTCGGTAGCCTGCCAGGTTGTCCAAAGTAGGAATGAGATAAGAAGATGTCATAAAAAGATGTCCTGATAAGACGTTCCGGGATCTGGATTTTATAGTCTCTGAGTCTTGGCCGTTGATGGGATTACACGGCGCCAGGGGCCCAGGTGGTGGGTGTGACCCCCGCCTACTGGAATTTGGAGGATCTGGGTGGAGGATGCTCGGCCCCAATCCGAGTAGGCTTGGAGGTCTCGGCCCCGGAACCCGCGTGGCTTTGTCCCTCTGCCAGTACCTTCAGGTGTGCGGAGAGTGGTCTCAGCATGGTGGTGGCTGGTCCTGGAGGTCTTCGGCTGCCGGAGCCCTGGTCGGGGAGGGGAGGAAAGCTCAACCCGCTCCCCTCCAAGGGGCCTCGGCGAGGAATAGCCAGGCGCAGGGACAGAAGACTCACCGTCACAGTCCTCCCGTTGTTCATCAATTTGCTTGAGTGGGCCCAGTAACATCTCCATTGGAGACTTTGTTGTTACTGTGTTTGGCATATCGAATACGCCACGGGGAGCTTGCCAGGCTCTGCCGTGCGGGCGAGATACTCTCGGTAGCTTGCCGGGCTCTCCGAGAGGGGCGGAGGAATCGAACTCGGGTCAGCCATGTTGGCTGCGTGCAAGGCAAACGCCCTACCGCTGTGCTATCGCTCCAGCCCATATATATATATTTGCTTTTTGGGTCACACCCGGCGATGCACAGCAGTTACTCCTGGCTCTGCACTCAGGAATTACTCCTGGCAGTACTCGGGGAACCATATGGGATACTGGGAATCATCGAACCCGGGTCGGCCGTGTGCAAGGCAAACACCCTACCCGCTGTGCTGTCTCTCCAGCCCCCTTTTTATATTTTTAAAGGTAGAAAAATCAGCCCCTGTTGCTCAGTGACGTCTAGGACAGCCCCAGCTGGCTTCATTGGCCTCCAAAGCCTACATGCGTGGACCCTGCAGTGCTGTCCCCACTCTCTGGGACAGACCCCCGGGACAGTTGCCAGCAGGCTCCTTTCAGAACGCACCAGCGTCCCACAGTGCTGGGCTGCTGTGGCCCGTCTTCTGCGACCCCTCCTGTCGGGGACAATCTTGGCTGGTTTCTTCAGGGCGGCCTCATCTGTGGCAGACCCAGGGCGATAGAGACCCCACTACCCCACCCAGTCGAGACAGAGACGAAGAAACAGGGGGATCTTCCCTGGACCATGCTCTCGGGGTGCTGGCTGGACGTGGCGGGTCCCTCTAAGCGTCCCTCAGGCTCGGTTCCCTGGGAGAGATCCCGCAGGACTGATGCCCTTCCGAGGGGCCGGCTCCGGCCACCCGAAGGCCCAGCCCGACGTGTCCTCTCCCCCTCAGGACGGCAGCACGGCGCTCTCCATCGCCCTGGAGGCCGGACACAAGGACATCGCGGTGCTCCTGTATGCCCACGTCAACTTCGCCAAGGCCTCCTCTCCGGTCAGTGTCCTGCGTTCGGCGTCTGAGCAGCCCAAGAGACCACCCCGGGAGCCCCTTTGCCCGGGATGTGGCTGGAGGCATAGGTGCCAGGGTGAAAGTGGAGACGCGTTCACCTGGCACTGAGAGTCACATCCATTTTTTTGTCCCCATGCCACCAAGGCGGGGTCCGCCTTGTCCTCAGGAGCCTCGGATAGTCTCCCAGCCCACGGGAAAGGTTTCGCTCTGGCCACTGCCACCCAGATGGCCCTGCCCCCGCCACCGAGGCCACCTCGCATGCGTGGAGGGTGACAGCGGCAGGTTCCGAGCTGCTGGGTCAGAGGACGGCGTGGCTTGAGGTCACTCATTCACATGGTTCTTTTCCGCCTTCTTTCTCTCTAGGGCACCCCGAGACTGGGAAGAAAGACTTCTCCCGGCCCAACCCACCGAGGCTCCTTTGACTGATCCTGTGCAAACAGCCAGCCCCAAACAGGCCCCCCGTGACGCTGCTAATCGTTCCTGTCGGGTGACAGCTACTGAATGTATATGTCTGTGCCTGAGCTCACCAGCACACCGCGGCCGGCAGGATGCCGAGATGGAGGGTCAGGCCGCACCACCTCCCCCCGGGTGGGACACACCTGACTCCAGGCTCTGTCGCATCTCTGGTCCTCACGTTAGGTACAGCAGGAGGAGCTGGAGGCATGACCCGAGCTGGGCAGGTGGGCGACGCCGGTGCTCCTTCCGCCAGGCGCCCAGGCCCAGGCAGGTCTCACTGACCTAGTGGTCCGAGGCAGCTCCACGCATATTCCCCTCGACTCTGTGGAACCATGGGAGAACGTGGAAAATCTCGTGCCGGACTGGACTGGTTGGGTTTGCTTTTTCTTTCGTCTGTATTATTTTAAAGTAAGAATGTTGTCACGACTTGGTGATCAGTCACTTAGGCCTGGGCCGGTAGGTTTCTGGTATAAAGATAAAAGATGAAACTCTCAAAAAAAAAAAAAAGAATAAAACTCAAAAGAAGAAATGTTTTTTTTTTTCCAGCTAGGTCTTTTTTTAGCTGGATGTACTATATGGCTTTTTCCTTAAGATGTACCTATGTACAATTGACACAGTATTTTCGACTTTTGTATTCCATAGTGATTAAAGACATGAAGAACTCCATGTAACCCTATCGCGTTTTTATTCACAATTGCACAGCTCTGTACTGACGAATAAAGGCGGGAACTGTAGTAGAGGAATTGGCTCGGCGCGTGCCGCTGTCGTTATTCTCTCTGTATTTATGGAATCCTTCATACCATGTCACATTTACTTTGGTCTTTTGTGTATTTAAGTGTTTGAAGTGCCTTAGACTCTTGCCATATTTGCAAAATAAAATTTCATTAAGCTCTCTTGCTCGTCCTCCTCCATCTCTGACAGCTGTCAGCCGGGTCCTGTTGACTGACTGTGACCACTGTTGGCAGCAGTGACGGATGGACTGCGGGCTGCCGGGTAGGGGCTGCGGGGTCCGCTGGAGCGGCGGTGACTCAGAGCACCCAGCCCAGACTGCCCAGCTCGGCTCACCGAGCTCATCACCTGACTTGCACCTCAGCTCGGCAAACAGTTCGTCAGACAGGCCCTGGGTGGGGGACGGAGTGGGGGATTGCTGGTTGGACCAGTCCTTTGTTTTGACTGTGCAACTGCTGTGTGACTGGTGCAAGCCTGTGTCAATAAGGGAGAAAGACTTTGGATTGGGGCCCAGAGCACCTGCACCTGTTTCCACACAACCTCTCCTTTTCTTTTACTGATTGGTGGAGGGAAGGTGGGGGGGGGGTAGTGTTTGCGGGCCACAACCAGCAGTGCTCAAGGATCATTCGCAGCAGGCTTGGGGGACCATATGGGGTGATGGGAATCGAACCCACGTCAGCTGTATGCAAAGCAAGTTACCTAGGTGCTGTACTGTGGATCTCACACACACACACACACACACATACACGTCTTTTATTTTTTTTTAATTTTTATTAGTGAAACACCATGAGGTCCAGTTGTAGACTTCCAAATTGTTGTGCTTGGGTTTCAGTTATTATACAATGATCCAGTACCCATCCCTCCACCAGTGCCCATTCTCCATCATTTACATTTTTTTTTAATTTTTTGTTAGTGATCATGGTGTCTCCCCTGCCAGGTAAGTTTTGTTAGTGAAACACCACGAGGTACAGTTGTAGATTTACAAATTTTTGTGCTTGGCTTTCAATTGTACAATGATCAAACACCCATCCGTCCACCAGTGCCCATTTTCCACCACACGTCTTTTTTTTTAAATAACGAAGAGAACCGGTCTGTTTTCTCTAAGCGGAAAAGCCTGGCAGCCCAAATGCGAAAATCTGTGTGTGGGCACCATTCCTTTTGGTAAATTTTCATTTGGGCGCGACACCCAGTATCTGCTCAGGTCTTCCTCTTGGCTCTGTGCTCAGGCGTCTCTCCTGGCAGGATGTGAGAAGTCATGTGTGATACCAGGGAATCAACAAAGGTCAGCTCCCTGCCAGCCAAGCCCCCGGGCCCCTGTGCTATCTCTCCGGCTTGGGATAAATTTTAACCCATGTCCATTTGCCAGAACCAGGGGCATTGGAGGAATATCACTTGAAGTCTCTTCAACCTTCTTTGCTTCCTTCTTTCTTTTCATACACGTGATCTTTGTTGAGCTTGAGAAGAGGACAGGGGTTAGATCGTCCCAAGTGCGTTTCCATAGGGCCGCCCCAGTGAGCCTGTTTCCTGGGCTCAGAGGTTGGGTCTTGGAGGAGTTGGAAAAAGCAGGCTAGGGACACCGGCCTCTCCTGCCTGCTCCTGCATCCTGGCTCCGGGGAGGAAGACCTTCACCTTGTCCTCTTCCTGTCCCTCACCTTCACCTCCTCTGTGCCCGTTGAGCCTGAGAAGGCAGGCTGGGGCCAGACCGCCGCCCGCCCCTGCCGCTCCTGGTGTTGGAGGCGCTGTGGGCAGGGCAGTGCCCAGGAGCCCCTGTGTTGCCGTCATCAGGACCTACATCCTGCAAAAGCCCCTTCTCACCTTCCCTGCCAACTCCAAGGTGGAGGCGGGCAGGGTGTGGGCATCAGCTGACGCAAATGAGTTTCCCAGCCCATGAGGAAAATCCGGTCCAAGAGGACATGCCCCGAAACGACCCTCAGAAATCCTGAGGAGGCCCCGGAGCAAGGCCCCAAGGGGAACAGCAAGCTCAAGAATCTTCCAGGGCCAGGCCAAGAGAGACCCCAGGAAGCCAGGATAGGGCGAGACAGCTCACCCCAAATCCAGTGCAGCCAAGGACAAGGCCCCCAAAACGGCCAGTGAGGGCCTGGAGCGATAGCACAGTGGGCGTTTGCCTTGCACACGGCTGACCCAGGTTCGATTCCCAGCATCCCAGATGGTCCCCTGAGCACCGCCAGGAGTGATTTCTGAGTGCCAAGGCAGGAGTAACCCCTGAGCATCGATATATGTGACCCCAAAAGAAAAAAATGGGGGAGGGCAGTGAGACCCAAAAAAGAACCTTTTTGGTCCAACCCAGGACAGGTGGAATGTGGGTCCCAGAAACCAGGAGAGGTGAGGGAAGCTTGGTTCAAACTAAGCACAATCAAGAAGTCCCCCCAATCCCACCCCACAGAGATTGCTAGACCAAGGGCCCCAAGGCAAGGAAGGCCCCTCCCAGCGGGAAGTCAAAGACCAAGGGAGAGAGGAACTAGCCAGCGCCCAGGCCCACAGGGAAAGCAAAGAGAAGAACCAGAGGGAGGAAGACCCGGACCCCCTTCACTCAGACGAAGGTAGCAGCCCAAAGGCCAACGCCTGTGTCTCCTCCTCCCTCTCTGTAGGGTCCCCCGGGGCGGGGTGGGGGGCTGGTGTGAGGCCGGAACCCAAGGACAGTGGGACCCAGGCGGGGCCCTGCACCCCTGGCCATGAAGAGGTTAGACACAGGAGCCAAGGCCTTGACATCCACAGCGGCGGGCAGGACGGCGGAAGCCAAGAGCCAAAGGCCAGATGGGAGGGAGATTCTGCGGGGGCTTTTATTCCCTGTACCCCATCACTGACCCACTATGACCTGCTTGTCAGTAAAGGTGCTTCCCTGCCTCTCTCTCTCTCTCTCTCTCTCTCTCTCTCTCTCTCTCTCTCTCTCTCTCTCCCTTTTTCCCCTTCTCTCCCTCCCTCCCTCCCTCCCTCTGTCTCTGTCTCTCTCTGTCTCTCCTCTCTCTGCCTCTGTCTCTCTGTCTCTCTCTGCCTCTGTCTCTCTGTCTCTCTCTGTCTCTGTCTCTCTCCCTCCCTTTCTCCCCCTTCTCTCCCTCTCTCCCTCCCCCCTTCCTCTCTCTCTGTCTCTCCTCTCTCTGCCTGTCTCTCTGTCTCTGTCTCTCTCTGTCTGTCTCTCTCTTTCTCCCTCTCTTTCTGTCTCTGTCTCCCTCCCTCACTCTCTCTCTTCCCCTCTCTCTCCCTCCCTTTCTCTCCTTCTCTCCCTCTCTCTCTCCCTCCCTCCCTCTCTCTGTCTCTGTCTCTCTCTGTCTCTCCTCTCTCTGCTTCTCTGTCTCTTTCTGTCTCTGTCTCTCTGTCTCTCTCTCCCTCTCTTTCTGTCTCCCTCCCTCCCTCTCTCTTTTCCCCTCTCCCTCCCTTTCTCCCCCTTCTCTCCCTCTCTCCCTCCCTACCTCCCTCCCTTCCTCCCTCTCTCCCTCCATCCCTCTGTCTCTGTCTCTCTGCCTCTCTGTCTCTCTGTCTCTCTCTGTCTCTCCTCTCTCTCCCTCTCTGTCTGTCTGTCTCTGTCTCTCCTCTCTCTGCTTCTCTGTCTCTCTGTCTCTCTCTGTCTCTCCTCTCTCTGCCTCTCTGTCTCTCTGTCTCTCCTCTCTGCCTCTCTGTCTCTTTGTCTCTCTCTCTCTCTTTCTCTCTCTCTTTCTCTCTCCCCGCTTTGGACAGTTCAGGCCATATGGGGACATGCACACACACTCCATCCACCCCAGGCCTGCGGTGTCCCACCACAGAGGGCTGACCTCTGCCTGACCGTGAGGGTCACACCTTCCTGAAGCCACTCCCAGCCCTTCCTTGTCCTCTCGGGACAGATGCACTGATTCTGGAACTGGGGCTCCATTTCCATTCAGATCAGAGTTCAGGTTCAGGCTCCCTCAGGCCTGAAACAGCACAAGAAATTCAGGCTGGACAGTGCTTGTTTCTGAAGAAAAGTGGCCCCTGAGTTTTCGGCTCCTTCGTGGTAATACGCTGTTTGGTGTCTCAGGTGACCTGTGGACCTGGGGGGCATCTTTCCTCCATCTGAGAAAGAAATGCACAAAAACTGTCCAGGCATGAGGAGATGGATGCCTGCCCCTGTGTCCCGCCTTTTCAGATTTCTGTTGCTCTGTTGTTGTTGTTTTTAATTTTTATCTGTTGCTCTGTTTTGCAAAAGGCAACCAGTGTTTGTTTTCTCTGGGGAGTGAGTGAGCCTTATTCAACATGTATCTGACTTACGTCTGGGTCACTGCAGCTGACTTTGCGCTGTGTTTGCTCCGTGAACACTGGCCGCAGGGAATTCTTTTCATCTCGGAATCTTGGCGCACTCCATAAACCAGCCTGGCTCTCCCCGACGTGGCGCGGCTTCGATTGATCGGGACACAAGTCCATAACGGGTGGCGGTGGAATGCTTGGGCCAAGTCCCCCAGTGAGGCTGGCACAGGGCTGGAGACTCCTGGATTTATTTTCGCGCTTACATGAAGAAGAGAAGGCTGAGCCGACGCCGACGGCTCAAATCCGTTGCAAGAGAAAGAGAACAGTGGGGGCTTTGCAATTTGAACACGATGAAAGCGAAATGTCACTTGTCCTGCCACCAAGAGGACACAAGGGTCAAGGGCTGCGGAGGTGACTCAAAGGACAGGAGCACCTGCTTTGCATGTGGGACCCAAGATTCCACCCTGGTACCACGTGGCACCCTGCACCACCAGAAGAATGCCCGAAGGTACCACTGCTTATGTCCCATTCCCATGGTGGGGGAACCACTCTACGTGCTTCACACAGGACAGAGCTTTTGTTTCTCCACCATGCATGTTCCCGGGACCAGGCTATGTAGCACTGGCCCCAAGCAGATGAAGTCGGGAGCCCCAGTCGATAAGTAACTAATACCCTGCTAGGAATCACCCCCGCCCGACCCTGGTAAAATACCACAGTGGTGACTCCTCTGGCAGGGATGCTTAGCTAAGGAAGCTGTTCTCTTTCTCCCAGGAGATCATGAACACATCAGCCACAAGCTTCCTTTAAAGGCTAAAGCAGTTCATGGGCTGGAGTGATAGCACAGCGGGGAGGGCGTTTGCCTTGGACGCGGCCAACCCGGGTTCAATTCCCAGCATCCCATAGGGTCCCCCGAGCACCGCCAGGAGTAATTCCCGAGTGCATGAGCCAG